ACTTTAATTTCCTAAATATCCCCAATATATTCAAAATGATATTGAATAAAGCACTCAGTGTGACGAGGACTATTTATTTCAGTTATTTTATTTTATTTTTTTCCAGGTGGGAAAGCGCTTAGCTCAGCTTACAGGAGAACAATTAAGGTGTTCTCCCTTACAAATGATATACATCGAATGTGTTTAAATTAGTTCCAGTTGGCTGAACGAGAAAGACATCTTAATCTATTTAAATGGCCTTTCCACCAGCCCTGCAGGTCAAACAATTGACCTATTAGTAAGAAAATAACCAACAGATTAATGAAGTTGCTGCAGGAGTAGTTGTGATATTGAGCGCTGGTGCCTGGAGACTAAAAAGTGTTACTTTGTGTTTTTGTGCAATTAGCAAAATGAACAACATTTTTACAACATTTGCAGTCTGACATGCCGACAAAAATACATATTGCGGTCACGTCGGACAGTTGGGTTTGATAGAGGCTGTGATTATATATAATTGTGATTTCGGAGTCTCCCACAAGTCCAAATCAAAATGAAGAGCAAAGAGGGGAAATGCTGCAGCAGAACAACAGGAGGAAAAGAAAAGATGTCTTCAGAAGATGAATACAGTGCCTTGGGAAAGTATCCATACCGCTTCCACATATTGAGATATTTTGTCACAACAAATTTCCAATGTCTTTATTAGGATTTTATGTAGCAACACAAAGATGTGCATATTTGTGAAGTGACAGAAAAAGGGATACAAGGACTAGAGCGTCGTATATCTGTATTCAGCCGTCTTTTTTTTCTGGAGCATTTACCAATTTGGCAACGTTGTTGTTTGTTCTTTTTTTGCAATATTCTCAGTCGGATTTAGACCTGGACAAAGACTGGGTCGTTTTAACGACGAATATGCCAATCTAAAACATTTTGACTGTAGCTCCGGCTTTCTGTTTATGATAGTTGAAGGTTAACCAGCACATAAATAATATCATCTTTACAGCATTGTTGCTTATGTGTTTTTATTTATACTTTTTCTACAATTGTCAACCAGCTTTTGCACATTTCCACTTTTATTTTGTCGATTTATCTTGGTGATAAGTCTTTGAGACTGGAAGGCCTCCTTGTCATCACCCTAATCATCCCCGATGATTAGGGTGAGAACTCTGATTGGGCCCCTCCAAACTGATATTACTTCAAATTGTTTGTAAAGGTAAAATATATAACTTTGAACCTGTCAGAAGAATCAGTTCTCTGTAGCATGACGCTGCCACCACCGTGTTCTGTAATAGAAATGGTGATTTACAGTAACAGTGTTACGGTCTCATCTGACCAGAACACATTCTCTTCTGTTTTCTTCTTCTGGTGAAATACAACAGATCTTTGAATAACTTTCACACACAGGTACATTTTTATTCCTTATTAGGTGACTTTTAAGAAAAGTTGTTTTCATTGAGCTTCATTTATGTTTGTGCATGTAAAAGGGGGCTGAATACAAAACCAAAACGGCACACTTGGGATGTTTTTCGTAAAAAAAAAAATTCTGAAAACTACTCCCTCTACTGTCTGTGTTGGTTCGTCCCATTAATTCGTTGTTAAATATGTTAAAGTTTGTGGTCGCAACTTGGGAAAATGTGAAGGAAAAAAAAATGCAAGGAGTAAGCAGACCTTTTCAAAGCTCTGTATGTGCCACAAGGTGAGGAAAAGAAGAGAGAAAGAGCTCAGTGGGGGGGGGGGGGGGGGGAAAAAAGAGGGGGGGGGGGGGGGGAAAAAGGAAAAGGGGGGGGGGGGGGGG